TAAAAGATTCCTTCAGACCACTGTTGTGTGTGTTTCCACCACGGTCTAAAGACCTCTGAAGATTAGACCAGCTGACGTAGGCTGTAGGCCTATACGCCGTACAAAGCGATGCACAGGCATCATTATTTGTAACCACTACCCATGAGTAAAATTTATAAATGAACATCAGATTTGACTGGAATATAATGAAAAACTATTGGCTGTGCTTGACAATTAAAGCAGCTTTTTTGTGTGGGAGTCCCTCCAATGGTTCCTAGTTCCGGGGTATAGTTTCGTATAGCTATAGAGACGCACCCGGGGCGTCTCACACAGACGCTCAAGGGTACCTTTAAATAACACTTTTTCTGAAAGCATTGGTGTTGGACGACAACACCTGAGATGACAATAGTCTAGCTTTATGGCTTTCAAAGTAGGCACGTGGAATGGAAGGGAGGTGCTCCCAAAACACAGAGCCACACCATCAAACATAACTTACTGCAATGCAAATATCAGTTTCTTGGATGAAAGTTGTCCCGACTGAACTGATTTATTTGTCCAGTGGAAATTATTACGTATTAAGGTGACAGCGCAAATATTGCTTATTTACACATCCAGTAGTGACAAAGCAATATTATGAATGATGTCCAATATTCTCTCATTTTAGCTCTGTTTTTGGTCTCTGCCAACTCCTGAGGGAAATATCTGGCTCTTTAGCTACTAATTGCTTCACCATGTTCACCATCTGTAGCTTTGTCCATCAACTAGTAGCTAGTGTACAGTGGGTTTTTAGGGCTATTGTCAATAAAACTGTCACAATCCTGCCTGTCTGCTCTGTCTCGTTTAGTTCTCTGTGGGTTTTTGTTATTTGGTCAGTTCAGTATCTGTTGTTTTAGTATGTTGTTTTTCAGTGCCGTCTGTCTGTTGTCTTGTGTCCAGTCTACTCTAGTCCTGTCTGTTTGTGTCTTCTGGAGTTTGTCTATGTTGTTCTGTCTTCTGCTTGTTCTGTGTGGTTGTTCTGGTCTGATCTGTCTTTTTGGTATATCGGTGCCTGCCTTAGTTCTTGTTTAGTTCTGTTCCCGTCTGATGTTTGTTATTAGTTTCCGTACCATCGTGCTTGGGTTCTGTCTGTCTGCTAGGAGTCTATGTCCTTTGCCAGTTTCATTATTTAATCTGATTTTGAACATTCTGCTTTAGTCTGTTCTGTCCTCATTATTAAGTTTATAATTTGGTTTTCCTGTTTGTCCTGTTCTAGTTGTGTTTTTGTTGTTTGATTCTTGGCCTTTTAGCAACCTGTTTGTTTGTAGTCTATCTGTATTGTTGGTGTTTCAGTCTGTGTTCCATGTCATGTTTCTGGTCTGTCTGTGTTATGGGTTCTCGTTAGATTCGTGTCTGGTCTTTTTGTTACCTGTGTTTTGTCTGTTTCTCCTGTTATCTCTCTGCCTACCTGTCTACCTGTGTCCCCTGTTATCTCTCTGCCTGCCTGTCTACCTGTTTCCCCTGTGATCACTCTGCCTGCTTGTGTGTCTGTGTGCTTGATTGTCCTGATTGCCTGTCACCTCTGTTGTGCTCGCCCTGCTTGTTAGTCATTGTATATAGGTTTGCTAGTTTCTTTAGTTTGTGTCTGGTCATTGTTGTGAGATGAGTGTTCTGCCTGTTGCTGTACTACCCTTTCTGTATTTGGCTTTTGCCAGTTTCCACTACCTGTGAGTTTTGGATTAAAATCCTGAACTGTATGTCAGCTCTCCAGTGTCTTGCATTTGGGCTCTCTCCGGCTTTGCATTCATCCTAATTCCTAAAACATGTTATGAGAGCGACGAGAGTGAACCAGAACATTAAAGATGTGGGCTAAACAGTGAAATTTGCTATGAAGCTCTAGGAATCCCACGAGGCCTGCAGATTCATGTGATAATTCTCTGTAGTTTCATCACTATGAGCGATACACATTGTTTTTACAGTGTCATTTTTATAAATTTAACAATTTCTAGATGCTTTAACATCAGCATGTCCGTTTGACAACTGAGGTACATGACTAACAAATATTTCCAAGAAACTGCCCAGCAATGTCACAGAAAAGACAAGTGGGATGTTTCCTGTCTGTGTCCCTTCATTGACTGTCACTCAGCCTGACACAGCTTCACTAATAACAGCAGATGAGCACCAACTCTGAATCTGAGACTTTAGAGACCTGAAAGACAGCAATGTATTGTTTTAAAAGTTGAATGTAACACTACATTTTCACATCCTCACCTACAATTTTACTTAAATAAGTTCAAGACATTGTTGGCCCAAATCGGAAGAGTAATTTGCAGCAATTAACAAGTTAAACAGAAACGCTGATATGAAGTGGAGTGTTTCTCTGCAGGCAATTAGCATGTTTAGGGCGCAAGGGTTAATTAAGAACTCTGGCTGAGAAGTCTATGTATTTTTTTACGCTGACCTCAATGAGTGTGAGCAGCAGGATGCTGCTCCCTACGTTCACCGTTTTGTTTTTCATCTAGTTTCTGTGGATGTAGAAACTATCCCTCCATAAAATCAATGTTTTTGCGCTGTTTGAATCCCGCAAAAAGAGTCAATAACAGCATTATCAGTGCCTGCGGGGCACTCGCGTGGTAGTGTGTATAGTAGGAAATAAATCTTTAATCAACTACTTCATTTTCTTGGAGAAATGCTTTCACAGTCTCAGCATTAATCTTACACTCAGCTGTTGTATTCTGCCAGTTCTTTAAACAGCTTTAATTGTGACTGTGAATATTGTACTACCCTGTAGAGCTACCCAAAACAAACAAAGCGAGCAGTGGGACACTACATTTAAAAGCCCATTCCTATTGAAATATACTCAAGGGTTGTATTTCTTTTGTTTTCTCCAAATTACTTGCATTAGCATGTAGCTTATCATCTTCAAACCACATGCTGTCTTGTTCGGTGAGCAGCAGCTACATTTGTGCTCCCTGTATGTGAATCTATCATCTATTCTAAAAAGCCAGAGGTCTGCCTATTCACTCTCCAGTCCTCGAGGAGCTTATTTGGTTTTGTGTTCGCAGATATTTTAATAATAATTATATTACTGTCACTACATTTGTGTCCCAGAGCAGTCCAAACATGAACCAGAAGGATGTGAACCACTTCCAATTTTCTTTTTGAAAGGCTGTGAATATTGGTTCTTAGGTCTCCCACAGCGCACAGAAACAATGCCAATACTCGCACTGAGCAATTTGTTTTCAATTTGCAGGTCCACCTGTGTCTCTGCACAGGTCACCTAAACCACAGTCTATTCATCTCATCCTCTGCTGACCTTTTAAGAAATGCCTCCAAATTGACTTTGTCACCCGTTTTGGGAGTGAGAAATAGCCACTTTTACTCCTCGACTCCGAAGTCTATTTCCATTCTATCAGATGGTTGGATGAATTATGACGTGCGTATGACAGTTGTGTCTCATGTGTCTCATTCATGTGTGTCATTTTTTGGATCTGTTTAGGGAAAGCATTTTCACTTTTCAGCTGTGGTTTATACAGGCACAAAATGTCTATCCATACCCACAGCGACCGCATTTAAACCACTATTATTAAATGGGGTCAGTCGGAGAACACCACCACCATATCAACCGCAAAATGTACTTATCCTCAAGAGCTCTCGGCACTGTGGGTGACAAAAAAATGCTTTTTTTCCTTGATGGTGTTTTAAGAGAAGGGACTTTCTTAAAACAAAAGCCACTTAATGTTGTATGTAGAGTCAGAAGTAGAGATGGAAAATCTGATGATGGGAGCTGTTCCAAAGTTTAACTGAGATGTTAAAACCATTAACAGACAGAAAGAAATTACTAAATGCTTTGATAGACGCTGATCTTCTGCATCTGTTCTTGTGTTAAAAATGACACACTCCTGAACTTGCCATCTAAACTTTACAGGAGTATTGATGTAATAATATTGAAGTATGTTGACTGGGAGACGGCATCATCCAGTGAACTCCATGAATTGCTTGCTTGTATGTGTCTCCCATGGTTCTCAGAGTAAAATGTCCCACAGGGCAGAGCAATACTGTCGTTTCCTGGCTTGTCTTAAATCCCTAAGGATGCTTTTCCGGACATGTTTTGTTTCTGTTCATTTGTGCTGAAAATATGTAACAAAGGTCAATGCCTTGCAGTTCTGTCACCCCTTTCACTTATCTTGTACTTGTTATAAAATAATAAAAGCTTAACAGCCTTCTTTAAAAGATGAACTCCTTATTTTCACAGCACTACCTGGTGTGAGAACCCGAGCCTTCAATATTCCTCTGTATTTGATTTGATGGTGTCAACAATAATTTTCCAGGTATGTATCAAACACATCCATTCACCACTGTTCACACACACTATAACAAGATTGCTCTCATGACTGAACCATTTCAGTCTCATTTTATACTAGCTTGTCAGAAGAACCAGAACAAATAACATACCTTTCACTGCTCACAAAACAAAGTAGTTTAACATTTTGTTAAACATGCAAATTTCCCCGCTGGACTATTCATGCAGTCAAACAGCCAATAGCTTACTGCTTACAACAGACGCAGGCGCCATGCGTGTGGGAACGTGCCTCAGTTTTTACGTTCACCTCAGCCTCTGACAGATCTCAGAACTAGCCACAATATTTTTAATTATTTTAATTATATTAATTATATTTTATTATCTTTTTTCCTCGCATAGCCATGTCTTTATGAAGCAGTTTAAAACCTTGGGCTCATGAGCACAAATTATTTGCTCAAGTTTAAAGATTTTCAACTTGTGTCACGTCTTCGTTTCGGGCAAATCTAATTTCCTCTTTCCATTTACTTTCCTCACCTCGCCTGTGTAAACACAACTGCCAGGTGCTGGTAGGCAGATTTTGTTACCTTCAGACATAGCCAAGCTAGATGTTGACCTGTGTCAGTTTCCTTTATGCTGAGCTAAGCTAACCTAACCGGCTGCTTGTTGTACCTTCATAGTTAACGTACAGACACGAGTACGTTAATCACGACTAACTCTTGGCAAAAAAAGCAAATAGTGGTACTTCCCAAAATGTCAAACTATTCCCTCTGTGCCCTCTACCTGTGTTCCAAATCTGACCAAAAACATGTACAGTTACGAAGGCTGTAGGCAATCTTCTTTTTATTCTTTCTTTCTCTACTTAGACCAACACACATTCATAGCCAAGATACAAAGTAGTTTGGGTGGTATAAACTAGTAACGTCTTTCAATAAATACTGCACTTGCTGCACGCAACCATCTAGCTTGGCACTGATAATATTTTACAAAAGTTTTGATACTGCGCTCATTTTATAATGCTGTACATTTGTCAACATCAACAAGCACACCTTTTTAAAACTAAGTGCACATTCAGGGTTGGCAGATAACAGCTGATTCGCCCTGCCCTCAGCCCAGATGAAATGAAATAAAACATCACTGTGATAACAGTTCACTCAGTAAACAAATACATGCTATTCTCTTCTTCTCAGGTGCTTTGAACTTTGAGGATGCAACATTTGCCATCCTATTGTTGCATGATGAAAAGCTTGAAACTGCAAAGTACCTTTTTGAAGACATAAGCAAAAGGCCTTCTGTTTCAAATGGCGCATTTAAAACTCTAAAGTGAAAATGTTTCATATGCAGGGAATTTATGAAACTTTCTAAAGCCATAAAAGACCATAACATCCTTCCTTCACATCAATTTGATCTAAATAGGAGTTGAAAGGTTTTCTCATCACAGCAGCCCTGTGAAAAGCTGGGTGTGCATTGCTTCTTGTATAATGTCTTAGACTAAATTATGGTCATCAAATTCTTTCTGGCTACATAAGTCATCATTTCGCAGCCTTCAGCACATAAAGAACTGAGTGGTGAGAAAGCCTAAACCACATCACTCCTTCCTGTCCTACTTGTGAAGATTGTCTGTGGAAATTAGCATACATTTTAAAATGAAGAGGTACACAAAAAAAATCTGACATCGGCTTTGAGGGGCGCTTTAATCAAGGGCAATTATATCCGCTTGTAAAGTGGAATCCACTGCTTTACCCTGTCATTTAGTATATTATAACTGCATTTTTTTGCACATTTTTCATGTATTCTATGTTGAATTGTCCTATTGCTGTCAGATATGTTGTGACAAATCTCGTACATCTCACTTGATTGCAAACATTTTTGGGATGGAAGAACAGTATATGGATTTTTTGACCAACAACAGTTACTGCATTTATAAAGCATGGACGTGGAGTTGAGTTCATCTAACAAGACTGAACCTCAATCTGAGGCTGGACTGACTGTCTTTTAGGACACAGTATCTTTGAGAAAGCCCTTCGAAAGCTGCTGTGACACAGAGGGTACAAGAACGGGTTGATGGCAGAGTTCAGCCACAGGAGCCAGAATGTAATCTCGTACCAGTAGTTCGCCACACATGTACCGCTACAGGCGGCGCGAATGATCATGAGTAGAGTATAAGGAGCCCAGCAAATCCCAAAAATGCAGACAATAATGGCCAAAGATTTGGCGATCTTTTTGTCACGTAAAAGTCGAGATGCCTGTGTCCTGTGGCTGGGTGCCGTGCAGGAGGCCGTGTGCTGAAACAGCCTGGAGTTTTTTCTGGTAGGAGAGAACCTCTCCCTCTGCATGAATATCTGACTGGTATTAGGGTCCCCGCAGGAGGAAGGGGACAGGACATCGTCGTCCTCGATAACTGCAGAAATAGCAGTAGGCTCGCTGGACGACACCTTGCGAGTCTTCACGAAAAACACAGACCAGCCTCCTCCTTCTCTGTGCTTCTTACTGGTCCTCTGCATCTTGGCGTCGTCCTCGACGTGGGCTCCTCCTTTCTTGTTCCTGCGGTGGATGTTCAGGTAAATGCTGAGGTTCAAGAAAGCTACAGACACAAACGGGGTGAAGAACTCAAACGTTGAAGCGCTGAGCAGGAAGTACCAGGTGAAATAAAACTCAGCATAGCACTCGTGAGCCGGGACAACGCTCTGGCCGACGATCATCTCCCAGAAGATGATGGCAGGGCCGTAGAGGAGGAAGGCTAGCACCCACACCGCCACCATCTTGAACACAGCTTGGCGGGTCATGTTTCGCTGTGCTCTGTATTTAACCTGGGTCAAAAGAGAGGCACAGGTGTGACTCACAGCGATACACAATGACACTATTTGTTACATTTGAAACAGCCACAGCTGCTCACATACAAACAGGCTGACAAACGCACTTGCTTCTGCTCTTCAATTGAAGCCCTGTTTGTATTGTGCTGCCTCAGAGCAGCATAGAGATGCTGTGAATAAAACCCACTCATGAGGATCTTCTTCCGCCGTGTGTGTGTCACTGAAGCCGAAGAGAGAAGGGGAATGTCGGGCTTAGAGCCACATTCACTGATGCAACGCAAGAGTAAAAGAGACATCTGGTTCCTCCCGATCCACTCCCCCCCGCCTCCTCACCCGTCACTCATTCTCTTTGCACTGGCTCAATTTTCACTTCACCTCTTCTCAGTCTAAACTCTATCATTTAGCAGGGCTCCACTATTTACCAGTCTCTCTTTTATTGTTTGCTGTTGTTTTTGATCTTTTCTTTGCCTCAGAACCCTCAAATGTCTGTCTGCGGGTGCAACAGCTTGGTATGTCACTGTGAGACAATGATGCTGCTACTGTGACCGTGGTTAATGAGCAACTTAAAAAAGCCCACTTCTCTGAGTCAATATGTAATGAAATACAGCCACTTCATGATGCTAATAAGTGATTCTGGCCCCAGTCTCAAGTGGTCGGACTCCCTATTTCCATTGTAAATAAGAGAAATCTTTCTACGGATTGAAAATTGATGAATAAATAAATAAGATTTCCAGTTAATCTACTGAACCATCAACCAAAAGCAATTGTTACCGTACACCGCTTAGTAAGCGGCTAATATAAATTCTTGTTCTGTAAATGTGGCGGCAAACAAATTTAGTAAATTAAAAATAACGCAGGCAGCGGGACCATTAAAATTATCCACTTGGAAACATTTCTGTTTTATGCCAATCATGCACAAATGAACAGAAATGTTATACTTGAAGACCAATACTGACCATATGTGGGACACTGAATTAAAAAAAATCAACCAACTGAAGATTTTAGCAGATTTTACAGTGATTTACACTTTACAATAGATGCAATAAGAATCTGGCTCTTCTTGTTCTGGTTAAAACCTGTTTGAAAGGTGCACTCCAGCTATTTCCCTCCACATATTTGGGGGACAGATGGGAAAAAAAAGAAGAATGCACAAAATCGAAGCAGTAGAGGGAAGGGTATCCTGAATTTTAGTTTTGAGTATGTCCATATTGCATTGTATGTTTCATTAGACACAGCCTGCCTCTTAAATGTCAACTTCTTGCAAACCCCACTGAATATAAGTCTCAAGTCCCCCAGACCTGATGACTGTGACATCATCAAGTTAGTTTTCTAAACTTTGAAAAGCTCCTCCAGAGCGACAGAAGACTTTATAAAACTGTTTATGGACGGAGTAGTGCTTCTCATGTTGTGTGAAATCTGTGGAGTGTGCCCCTTTAACTGAATAATATTCGCCCATATACAGACAGCTGAGTTGACTGCTAATGTTTGCATTCATACTATTTACTTACCAAGTTAACCAGGGAGTGTTCAGATTGACTGGACCAAATTACAGCCAGACACTGCTTTAAAGGAATAAAGCTGTTAATGTCAATGACTTCTCGCTGCAGAGCAAACTGCACATTGTAGATTAGACTGTGGTAGCATGTCAATTGCGTGTCTGGGTGCGTGTGGTAATGAGCACCTCCAAAGCCTGTACTTACTGCTCTTGTGACTGACAGGAAGCGGTCATAACTAATGAGGACAATGTTGAAGACTGAGGCGCTGCAGAGCAGGTAGTCCATGACAAGCCACACCTTGCAGAGACCTTTACCCAGCATCCACCGGCCTGTCAGGTTGTACGGGATGTACACCGGGATGCAGAAGGCCCCTGGAACAGGCACACACACACACACACACTGCATGATGATTCAAAGCTCAAACCACTACTGTATTAACATTCACAGCCTGGATGTGAGACCCATAACATGTGACAGAAAAAAATTCCTGGTTACTGCATGTTATCTACACAAACCCCTGCAGACATGAAGTGAAATACATTTTGGAGTGCAGTCTGCATGGGTGATTTCATTAAAGAGAAGGGTGTAATTTATCTAATGATGCAGATAACAGCAGCACAATAAGTGGAGTGTGAACGACTTACAAAAATAAAATATGTGGATGCTTCAAATGCTCCATGTTAATGTAACACAGGAATGAAGCATAAAGGACGATTGGGTCACCCTAAACTATTTTCACACTAGTGACTCACTATGATTATACTGTATGGAAATTAAAATATGTGTGGGGCGTGAACAAATAGCCTTTAATTGGGTTTTCATTCATAGGGAGGAACAAAAGACTTGAAAGAGCCGAATTTGAGCGAACTGACAGATGAGACACAAAGAAGAAGATGAAGAGTCACCAACTCACCCACGAGAAAATCAGATATAGCAAGGTTCAGAAAGAAGTAGTTGCTTTGATTTCTCAGGGTTTTATCCACAATGAAAGCCATGATGACCAGTGCGTTTCCAGCCACCACAACGACAACCAGAGTCACCATGAGGACCGATAAGATCACCGCCAGGTAGCCCGGGAGGACAATCCCAGCCTCAGACACCGCAGGAGTCAAGTTGCCGCTGGAGTTGGACTCCAGAATCTGGGCTCCCATAGTTAATGTAAACCCAAAACCATTGTAGACCCTTTTCATTTCACGCACGGAAACAGCGCACAAGTCCAATCACGCGCCCAAACCTTCCACTTTACCAAGGAGTCAAACATGACTGAAGACCTGGTTACATTAAAATACTTTCCCCAAATCTTCCATTTCCCCCCACGAGCAATTCTGGGATTGGGTGAGAAACTAGTTGAAATTAAAGCTTCATTAATAATTGTAGATCCTCTGGGTGCGCTCTCTCCTCTCTGGGCAGCCGCTTTATTGAAAGTGCTGGCTGCTGAATGTGCGGGTACCGCGGAGCGCACACTTTTGTCTCCGATGCCAAGTTTGCAGAAAGTAAGTAGCTACATCCGGTCGTATTTCCCCCCCAAATAAACGCACAATACGGCAAGGCTTTCCAAAAGATTGAAGGCTATCATAAATATGCATTATTGAAGCAATTTTTATGCGTCCTATTACAGTTAGGCCTACAGTCTTTCAAAATATTCCCTGATAGGGCAACATGTAGCCTAAAGGGCACACTAAACAGTTGCCAATTGAAATGTCTACTGTGCAAGTCCATCTTAAACAATATTGTGTCAGGTGTTCATCAGATCCGAACCCTCCAAATCACTAAAGATTTCCCGCATGTGCATGCTGTCTTCCAAGAGGTGTGAAACGCTTACGCTTTTATTTTGGAGACAAGAAGAATTCCGGTCTTACTCGGGTGATTTCCTCGCACTTGACGTTCTGTTTCTTTGTTCGCACGGCAGCCACTGATCAAAGGATGAAGTCCGCAAGCAAAAGATGAAGTGGTCCAGATGCGCGAAGCAGACTGAGTTGAAACGATGCGAGCTGCAGCCAGCAGGATGACTGCAAGAGCCAGTCACCATGGGCAGATATTTACACCAAGCAACAAGTTCAGTGAGTCAGTGGTCAATGATGAGTCCACTTGATAAAGCCTGAGGACATGAGGAATAACTAGACTCCTCGTCTTTGGTTTTGTTCTCCAGGATTATATCTTATTTAATAAATTAACCAATCAACACATAATCTCATTGTTATGACAGAAACTAGGCCTACTCGAAATGGCCGTTTTTATGAAAGTCTGATTAAGTAGCTATAGAGCCCCAGTGCGTTCAATATCCTAAATAAATAAAACATTTTTAATTAATTAATTAATTTTTAATGAATTATGTAAATTATGAACCACTAAATGTTGAAATGATTTAAGAAATTACTGAAACTATTACTATATTTTATTTTCTTAAGTTAATTTTATTTATTTCAAAACACCATTTTACAAAACTAAAACCTATTTCATAATTTTCCTTGCCTTTTCCCCAGTGACACAGTTTATCTACTAAATGTCACTTTTCATGACCTTGGAGCTGTCAGTCATTCACTTCACCTTTCAGCTAATCACATGCTAACTGCAAGCTAGATACTATTAGGTAGAGCAGCCATAAAGAAAGACTGTGTATGTATGTATGTATGTATGTGTGTGTTTATTTAAGGCAGTAGTACAAGGAAGTAAAAGTGATCAATAAAAAGCCACTTGGAGAAATTAGGGAAAATGCCATTAAGAAGAAATATCTGACTTGGTAATGGCAATTTGAAATAATTTCTGTCATGATTTGAATACAAATTCTAATAAAACATAATATGTAAATAATGTGAGAATGATGAAATACATTTATTGTAACGTTACACATTGGGGATCCATACTTGCATGCTTTTCTTCGATTTTACTAAAACAATGAAAGTCTTACGTGAGCCAAGCTACACCTATTGCAAAGTTCTCCCCAAGGTATGGCGTCACAACCAACAGGAACAACTGAATGGATGGAATCTGAAATCTTGGCTAATTATCCTCCTCAGCCTCAAGTATGAATTTAGTTAAATGAGTTTTTCGCAAACTACTAAAAAATATGATTAAGGCTGAGATGATGGGTTCAGTGTGATGACAGCCTGTCAGGGAGAACAACTCTCTGCTAAGTGAATTAGCTGTGATTATTATCAAGGGCTGAAATGAGCAGGCGGTTTTGTACACTGACATGGAGGAAATCCTGTGTGTCATTTCTGTTCTCATTCAAATGAAATGCCCTTATTGGATCAAACAATCAGTTTTATTCCCTCAAGATACTAATAAAAGTAAACTTTTTTATATCGCAATAATCAGGTTGTGGCTGTGAAAACTGCCAGGTGCACAGACGAGCCCCGGGTATTTTTTAGAAAGCAGTTCCTCTCCTGCCTAAAGCCAACCCTGTAGTGGTTAATATGCAGACTGTGACTTTCCAGGGATCGAGTGACACCAAAATGGAGAGGTGAGGCAAAATCCCACAGAAGCCAACGTGAGGTAAATGCTTTGAGAGAACACGCAACCGTGAAAGGCTGAATAGTCAGCTGGCTTGAAGTGGATGTCAAATGCATTGGGGGAAAAGGGACATGTGAATTATGTGAGTGAGAGTATCAGTGAAACCTTCACGTAGTGAACCTCATTTTGTTAAGCTGTGATGTTTGACTGACCATATTTCCTGGAAACGCTGAATGTACAGTGTGTAAATTTTCTTCACAATTGGATTCGCCTGAAGGCTGAATATTGCTTATTCAAGTGTATAGTGATTATGTCGCTTTCTAAAAAAGAGGATCAATACTGTGTTCTGCTGATGTAAAAGTTATAGTTTATACACGTTACACTGTAAACATTTCATTTCAAGGCCTCTCAGTTAAAATGGTGCAATATAAATTCCAGAGTTCAAGCGACCAGCTGAAATAACAATTTATTAACAAAGACATTTTAATACCGTAAGTTATTTTGAATAAATTGTTCGGATAATTGCGAGAAATCCCTTCTTGTCTTTATTAAGACACATCTGAATCGGCTAAAAATTACCTTTTCACAATATTGTGAAAACATGTCTGAATAAAAGTCTTTTTTCTTCTTCTCGAAATTCATTTTGCCTTCTTGCTTTTGGACTTTTTGGTCTTCGCTGCTGATTTGGTGGCCTCATCCTGTGAAACAAGAGGAAAGGATTAGAGAGCAAACAGACTAATGATCATCTTACATTAGCACTCCTCTTAATGGTGCGAAAGCTTTTTCCATGTTTAACATTTGAGTGCTGTTTTAAAGCTCATGACTCAATCTTTGACAGACACTTTTGCCTAAACTCCTGCTGTGTCTCCCATCCTTACTGAAATGTGCAAATGACAATGTACTGATTGGCACGCACCATACTGTTTTAATATATTCTAATAATTGCATCAAACTAAACATTGTATTCTTAAACACTCTTATAAAACGTCCTCCACTAATAATTGCTCTGACAATCCAGGCTGCCAACTTGTAAATCTCCCAACAGCTTGGACCAAAGGCAAGCATAAATGATTATTCTGTTTTATACAGCAGAGTCACAAATGTGGGCAGTTTTATATGCATAAAGCCCCTTCCAAGCTCATATGGTGTTTGCAATGGGGCTGTAAACCAGTCACTCTCTAAAACTTGTTGTTGTTTGTGTCCCCAATTATCATAAAACATATATATATATAAAGAAACCCCTCCTCTTGTGAGTTTCTGAAGTGTAAAACTAGTGGTTCAGCTCATTTTCCTCCTAAATCCACTCCAAGTATTCAGAGATTTTATCTAATTTTGCATTTGCCTACGGCAAAAATGTTCTCCCTGTTTCCCATTTACACTTTATCACAAATATGCATATAGGCCAACACGATGAGGTGCTGGCACAGAATTCCATTTATTTATTCCAGCTGCTTACTTGGACAAAAGAAAGTTCAGGGTTTCCAACAACATCATCTCTTCATAGATTCAACTGGTACATCTCAAGGGTCCAAAGTATTTGCAATTTTCATCAAAAACTGTCTCTACCCAAGTCTGGGTTATATTCTAAAATATTCAATCCCAGAATAACATTTGATCCCAATTTAACCTTTAAAAAATCAGAGTGCCTCCAAGTTTTTAAATAGTTTAGGAGCATTGCGGAGATTCACTCATTTTAAAAGGCATTAAAACTACATAATGTCACAGTTTCAGCCCCCCCACGCTGGACAGAGGGAAATATAGATTAAACTTTTAAACAATCTCTGATAAAAATGTATATTTAACGATTTCTGTGTATGAGCCTAGGGATGTATTATTCTGCTGTATGAAAATATTGTACATTTGAAGGGTGAAGATAAATCTGGTTTTCTAATTAAGTGTCCCAACATGGCATTAAAGTGCACATGCACGTTACTGAAAATACATTCTGGTATGCGTGACTGTACATATCAGGTCTAACATCGACCTGTACTGTTTACTATTTATTATTATTTATTTGTCATTTAGTAGCTGTTCAAATTGTATGTATTGTATATAGTGTATATTCTATCCACCTACATCATGTACAATAACTCCTGCGCAAAAATAGCATCCTTTACACTGTGCTCCACTTCACTACTGTCAAATGTTGTTGTTTTTGTTTATGGTGTGTATATTTATGCTCTGTACACTGTAGTCTGAGTCTGCTGCTTGTTCTGTGTATATACATTGAGAGCACTGTAAGACCAGAGCAAAATTCCTCGTATGTGTACACATACCTGTCCATTAAAGCTGATTCTGATTCTGAATGAATGCACTGCTTTTCTGACCTGTCAAGCTTAGGACAGGCTTCGGGCAGCTTCGGCTAAGTAAAACTAAGCTGTTTTTTTTCAAGAATCAATTTTAGTCATTTTATCATTTTGAAAAGCACTTCGGGATTTGGACACAAGCTCCTCTGCATCCCCTCCATCCACAGACAGTGGCTTCATAGAGTCCAGGCTTGGCTTTCAGGACAGGAATTAAATCAAGTGCTGATTTTTACAGTGAGTTGATAGTGTTTTGAAGTAGGATAGTTTTAAGGGTAGGTTTGCACTACCTTTAATCCATCTGTGGCAGCAGCTCAAAGGTCAATCGTGTAATCAATGGAATAACTTTGCAGAACACAAAGACGACTTCAAAGCAGACTGCGTCTAACTTCAGGCTGCTGAAAGCGAGGAGAGTGTTTGATCTCTAGAAAATATGGCCACCAGACACTTTAAATGAACCAGTATCCCTAATGTGACAGCTACTGAGGAGTTCCTGTGGAAACACAAAGCAAGCCGAGCAGACACTTATTATTATTATTATAATAAATCTATGTCTCACTATAACCTGTAACTATACACTGTCTGACAGCATTGAAAGAACTCTTCTCTTCTGACTTACGGACTCTGGTTGTCAAATAGGTAAAAAAAATCTCCTCAATTTGTTTTCAGATAAATGGAGGAACATGAGGGTAACGGTCAATTAAACTACAAGATACCAGGCGTTTCCAAGCATCAGTAAACTGACAGCAATGTCGAATTTGACTGATGATGTGTCAGTGGAGGATGACAGAGTGATACGTAAGAAGCCCAGAGAGTGTCTCACCATGGAGGCAGTGTATCCTTCCTCTACCAGGATGTTTCTAGCACAGTTGTTGATGTGTTTGAAGCGGTCAGGACCCAACAAAATACCTCCATACCATCGAGACACGACCACCATGACATTGCGCACGTCCAGAATCTGTGGTGAGAGATAAACACATGGTAAACATAAAATGGATGTGAAATTCGAGAGCCGGGAAACAACAGACGAACACACTAAATGTGACACAACACCCTTCATTGGCAGCCAAATATTTCACACCAGATACGATGCCCAGGTGGGGGAATCTTCATTAATGGCTCAGGCTCTCAGCTGCCAGTCTAAAGCTCATGGCCAGACACTCCAAAATATTTCCCTATTTTGATCTCTTCCACAGAGTGAGATGAAAATTAATTTCATATTTGAGTGTCAATATCTAGCACCCGGCAATGTTTAGCTAAGGTTAGCACAAAGACTGGAAGGTTCAAGGTTTGATCCATAAAATTCACGGAGATTACAGGACTCCCATCCTTATCAGCCAACACAGTTTACGAAAGATATAAATACCCACAAAGTAACATAATATAAAACCATAAATATGAACTCCACAAAGCAATAAACGACACGTTACAATTGAGAGCCATAAAAAGGACCATTCAACACTACAATAATCGCTGCTCTAATCAATATTTTTATATAAATAACGGCTCAAATGACGATGCGTATGAGAAAGAGGGCTGTTCTAGTGATGAACCGCCAGATAATTATTACCCAACTCTGCATTTCCTCTCAGTTCTGTTAGTGCTGTGTTAAAGTTTAATGAGGGGAACAGTTATGCATCTCAGTATCTCCACAGTTGTCTTCTTTACATGTTGTGTGCATTCAACATGTAGAAAACATTGGTTAACAAGCAGCTAGCTTAAGCATTGAAGCCATTTCTTGGCTGCAGTTACTGCTTGCAACATCTCTGAAATCCTGTCATTATAACCCAGGTCACTCTTAGATGTATTTTTGACTAGTCTGCTACCTAACAAGAAATAATGTGCAAATACAAAAATTTGAATTGGTTGGAGGACTTTGGGGTTTTTTTTGTTTTTTTTTACTTTTAATTGGGGGCTGGCTGTTTTCCCAAGATTCTTTGGGCTAAGCTTATAAGATGTCCTGCATCTCTCTACTGAACATGTAGAGATTTAATTGACAACAAACTCTTAGTGAATATCAAATCCCCCAAAAAAGATTATTCCTTTAGAATAAAGAGGAGGTATTTGACTCTGCATTGCAACCAAACAAAAAGTGCAATTTAATGGGGTCTCATGCACATCTGGCTCCCAACACTATGAGTCAGATAATTTCTTTATTCGTCACCTCACACTTCCACATTCACTGGCAGACAGAACAAATCTAAATGAGGAAACGGGAAGAAAGGCTTGTGGAGACGAATGAGATAAGAGAAGAATAGATTAAGGAGAAAGCTCTTCATGTAAATTGCTCAGAACGCTGAGAGTGTTACAAGTAGAAGATTAATCAGTTTCTTGCTCAGAATGATGAGCAGGACAGCGGACCTGATACTATCAATCCAGATACAGTAGGTCAGTCAGCTACCTGATTGTACGTCTTTTAATCTGCCCTTATGTACAGTATCTGCACATGAGTTAAGAAAAGCAAATATTGCAATAAGCAAATATAAGTTGCCATTTTACATGTATCTGTTTTAACAAACGTACTGACTGGGTTCACTAGCTGTGTTCAGATAGTCAGAAGTTGATAAACTAGAAATTCAAAGTTCAAATTTAAACCGATTTGTTGGCCACTTGCCAGGAGAACAAGCAGTAAACACAACATTGACATATTATCACTTTATGAAGCGGATTTAACATTCATTTAGAGTCGTGTTTCCAGATTTGAAACAGGGAGTAAGTACTTGTGTTTAAATAGATTTTGTTTTATTTATCCAAAAGGTAATTGATTAAATTAGAGCCAAGACATAGCTGACTGTCTTGGAACACTATATTAGTCAAAGGCAGCTTGGACAATTGCACATTTTAATGTGAAGTGGGTGTGTGTGTGTGTGTGTGTGTGTGTGTGAATCATGGTGCCATCTGACAACACAGGCGCCTCACTGATGTGTGAAATGAAAAGATTAATATGAAATTACTATTGTGAACTATTTCTCGGAAAATTTACACATTATGTAAATACTAGTGGTGTGGGTCATACTGTACTATTGAGGTTATTCCCCTTGTGAAATCGTAGAGACTCAATCTCTGTGTAGGCTCTACCTTTGGGATGAGCAATTTCAGCATTTTCACATCATGATTCTTAATTTGTTTATGTCATTTGTTAAGACATTCTTTTGTCAACACATTTGCTGAATCTAGTTTCTCAAATGTCAGGATATGCTGCGATTCTTTGTTTTATATGATTGCAAATGGAATATATTTGGTTGTGGACTATTAATAGTACAAAACAAGCAATTTAAGAACATCACCTCATGCTAGCAGTG